CGTTTTGCCGTTTGTTAACTTCTCGGAACTTCTCGAGGACTGAACGGGGCTGAGGAGCGAGCCCAAGGGGGCCAGCTCTGGGTCTGGCTTTCCTTTATCTGAGCACAGCTCCTGAGTTCGGATAAAAGCATAGCTGGGTGGGGGCTGGGGCCAGTGCCACTGTCCTGGGGCTGCCTGGTCCCCAGCACCCTCACAGCAGACCTGCTCCCCTCTCCCTGAGGTAGCCAGAACAGGTAGCTTTCACATTGGGGTGTGTTACGTATAACCTACGTAAACACGGCCCCCACGCCTAGATGCTTGCTAACATTAACTCCCAGTGAGTGAGGAAGCCTTAGTTTGGAGGGAAAGGCACTAACTTAGGTGTCAGAGATTCAGTGTAGCCGCAGCTCCATGATTTGTTACCCCTGTGACATCCAGCACGGCCCTACACGCTGCGGCTACATCTGTGCAACGGGCGACCAGGCCCGGGGCCTGTCCCTCCGGCAGCGCCCGCAGTACACAGAGCAGGTTTTGGTCACCTTGGTCACTGAGGCCGTCATGGGAGACAGAGCACGGAGGGGGCTGCTGCCTTCTTCCATGCCACTAAAAATCAGGATCTGGGGTTTTCAGGCGTGTGTTGAGAACACAAACTCGAACATGCATTCATGTGAAAGACATAACATTTCTCCCGACGTAAGTCAACTAAAGGAAATCCCTCCTAGGAAGCAGGATGGAGCACCACCATGCTGGCAGCGCGTGGGCCGACTGTTGAGCTGCTAACTGAAAGACTGGCATTTAAAGCCATCAGCCACGCCGTGGGAGAAAGAGGTGGTGGTCTGCTTCAGGAAAGATTCACAGTCTCAGAAACCTTGTGGGGCAGTTCAACCCTGCCCCGTACGATCGCTATGTGTTTGAGCAGACTCCACAGTATTGACTTTGGTTTGGGGAGCTTTCAGAAGTTCCGAGCTAGATCACAGCTGTCTGTGGGCAAAGGCCTTCGCATCCCAGCTTAGCCCCCCCCTCCCACCAGGCAGCTGAAGAGGAAGCACTTTCGGGCAGCAGTTAAATTTGGAGCGCTACAATTTGAAAGAAGAGTTAAACTGAGAGGCAGCCTAAGAAAGATAGAAAAAGTATGTGGATTCACCAAACAGGTCCTTTGTGTTAAAAGAACTGTTCAGTGAATGCAAACCCTTTCTCTGATCTAACTATTTTAAATACATAGGAGATTTGTACACGAAGGAAGGATGGGTTTTCCATTTCTGACAAAAGAAATGAGCAGTGCGGGAGCATTTCGGTAGGAATCACTAACATCCACGAATGGCTACAGTGGCCATCAAAGCGCCTTGAAAACGCTCCTTCCATTCAAGTTTCTGAAAGAGACTCTAAGACAAAGAACCTCTGCCCAACAATGACAATGGGGTTAATCTCCCCACAGCCTCTCCAAAGGAGCCCGGGTGGCACAGTGACTAAGCACTCGGCTGAGAACCAAAGGGTCGGCAGTTCAAACCCACCGGCCGCTCCATGCAGACGGTGTGTCTGCCTCCGTAAAGATGAGCACCTTGGAAACACTGGGGGGCAGTTCTGCCCAGACCGGTAGGGTTGCTACCAGTTGATTCAACTCGAAGGCAGTGGGTCTGGGCTTTGGTTTGGTTTCTGTCCTCCCCTCCTCCGACCCCTTCCGGTTTGTCTGTACTTCCCTCCCTACCTGTGAGATTCCGGGAGAGGCCACCTTGCGCAAGCTCAGTCATAACGAAGAAAGCCGTTAGGTCACAGACCCCAGCGCACTTTCAACCCTTAGCTTCGCGTGGGAACGTGCCTTGGAGAAAGACACTGCTCAGGAAGCCCGCTGCCACAAAGCAATCTCAGGGGATCTATCTTCTAACTGGCTGGCATCTGGAAAGAATCAAAAAGCCACCTCTGTGTTTTGTTGATCAGTAACCTGCCAGGCAGCAGGAAGACAAGGCTGAGTGTGCTGCACAGGATAAGGTATAAGGGACTGAAGGGACATTACCTCCAATGACGCCGCAATCTACCGCCTTTGAGTACAGAGTTCCCACTTGAGAAACAAACTTCCCACAGCCACCAGAGCCCGGCAGCCAACAGCTGTCTAGAACCCTTTACCCTGGCAGGAGCCTGAGCCAAAGCCGAGGAAATAAAGGAAGACATTAGGGCACTTTATCTCAGGTCCCAGCAGAGCGGCTGCTTGCGTGCTGCCATTGTCCACTCTAATAGCTTCATCAGACAAATCCTCAGGAGGAAAGTAGTCATCTGAGAACGGTTCCAAGAAAACCCTGACTTCGGCAAGGTTGTTTGCGACTCCCACTGGGCAGAGTGGCGCAGGCACTACAATTAGCATGTGCATTCAGGCAGTGCCACTTTCCCATGTTCTACAGCCTTGAAGGCTAATTCCTTCATTGAAATGCCAATGAGGCATGAAACCAGCAGGGAGCTGTGGAGCAGGACCAGGTCGGGTCACGTGGGGGGCTGCGGGCAGTAAGCGCACGGCAGTGGGGGCCGGCAATGGCGGGGTTCACGTCAGCAGTGGCTGAAGACTGGAGCATAGGGCTCACAGACACCTCACTGGCCCTACCCCAACAGTCTATTTTAGAGACCAAAAAAAAGTCTACAGATAGTGCTGGGCCTAAAATCCCCATAGAATTTTAAAAGGAATGAGGCACCGAAGACATGCCCACAGAGGCTCAGAAGGCACTGTGACGGGGCATGTTTGCAGTGGAAAGGCCAAGGGAAGCACCCAGACAGGCACACCGCAATGTACCCTACAAAGCCGTCTTTCTTGAGTCTCCTAGGTTAAATGCTTAAAGCAAAAACATATTAAAAGCAAGAGAGACTTTTTATCTCCTTTGGTGTGCACGTCTGTGAATTTGAAAACATACACAGGTCTGTCCACCTACCGCCAAAATCAAAGTGTCAAACCGTGCCACCAGAACATTCCTCTGTGCTGTCCCTTTATGTGCCCAGCCTCCCTGGCCCTGACCCTGCCAACCATGGCCGGCTGTCCAGATGCACCCTAAGTAGTGGGAGTGTGCAGTACATGGCGTTGGAGACTGGCTCCTTTCACGCAATATCACGCCTTTGTTGTTGCAGTGTACATCGGGTGACCGTGTACATCAGTGGTTGAGCAGTGGTACCAGCCCATCTTAAGAATGTATAGCAGTTTGTTTCTCCATTCATCTGCTAAGGAACATCTAGGTTTTCCCCAATTTTGACCATCGTGAATAACAAAGCTAAATCCAAACCCACTTCCAGCAAGTTGATTCTGACTCAGTGACTCTCTACGTCAGAGCAGAAAAACTAATCTGTAGGGTTCCCCAGGATGTATATCTTCCTTGTAAAAAGTCCAAGAAAAATTCCACATCTTTCTCCTGTGGGATGGCTACTGGGTTTGAACCACCAACCAGGGCTCCTCAATCAAATAGAAAGGCTATATAAATTCATGTTTTTTGGAGGAAGGATGAGCTTTCACTTCTATAAAGTGAATATCCATAAGTGGTATTGTGGAATCATGCTAACCAAAGAAAGTCCAAACTCAATGCCATCGAGTTGGTGCCGACTCATAGCGACCCTGTAAGACAGGGTAGAACTGCCCCTGTGGGTTTCTGAGACGCTAACACTTGATGAGACCTGGCAGTTAGCAGCCCGACTTAATGTAACCACTATGCCACCAGGGCTCCTGTAGTCATGCTAAGTATGGTGTTTAACTTTATAAGAGACATGTCAAATGTTTTCCAGCAGGGCTGTACAACTTTCTAATTTCGCCAGCAATGTCCCAGCCATCCTACATCCTTGTCAGTACCTGGCATTGTCACTATTTTAGATTTTAGTTACAGTGATGTGTGTGTAGTGGTATCTCACTGCACACGGTTTTAACCTGCATTCACCTAATGGCTAGAATGTTGAGTATTTTTTCATAGACTTACCATCTTGGTATTCTTTTATGGTAAAGGGTCCATTCATGTTCTTTTGCCCATTTTTTAATTGAGCTATGTTCTTACTTTTGAGTTCTTTGCATATCCTTGACACAAGTCCTCTGTTGGATATCTGATTTACAAATGTGTTCTCCTAGTCTGTGCCTTGGTTGAATCTATTAGCAGCATCTTCTACAGAGCCAAGGTGTTCAAGTGTGATGAAGCCCCATCCCTCAGTTTTTCTCCTTCATGACCTTACTCTTGGGGTCATGCTGCAGAATTCTTTGCTTAGCCTCAAGTCGGTACGATTGTGTAGGTTTTCTATGAAACATGTTAGAGTTTCATGTGTTACTCTTAGATCTATGTTCTATTTTGAGTTGTTTTTTGTATTTAGCATGATGTTTAGATCTACGTTAGTTATTTTGCATATGGAGACACAATGACTCCAGCACTATTTGTTCAAATAGCTACCCTTTTCCCCCTATTGATTTTCTTTAGCATCTTTGTCAAAAATCAAATGGCCATATTTCTGAACTTTTTAGTCTGTTTTTATTCATTGATCTATATGTCTAACCACATTATTTTGATAGCTTTATTCTAATGTCATAAAATTGAGTAATGTGGGCCCTCCCACATTGTCCTTTTCTCCAAAATTGTTTTAGCTTTTCAGTTCCTTACCATTCCATGTAAGTTTAGAATTATAGTTTGTGTGTGTGTGTGTGTGTGTGTGTGTGTATAAACCCTCTCACTATCACCAAGTCGAGTCTGACTCATAGCGACCCAATAACACCGGGTAGAACTGCCCCTGTGTGTTTCGAGACTCTAACTCTTTATGGGAGTAGAAAGCCTCTTCTTTGCCCTGAAGCAGCTGGTGGTTTTTAACGGCTGACTTTGTGGTTAGCAACCCACCTTATTAACTACACCCCCGGGGTTTGAATAAGGAAGACTTAACAAAGAATTGATACATCTGAATAAAGGTGCTGGCAAAAAGTACTACGAGTACCATGGACAGTCAAAAGAACAAACAAATCAGTCGTGGAAAGGTGAGGCTTTGTCTCCGTACAGTGGACGTGGTATCAGGAGACTACTCCCTAGAGAAGGGCATCATGCCTGGTAATGCAGAAAGGGCAGCAAGAAAGAGGAGGACCCTCGACGAGATGGAGTGATCCAGTGATTGCAGCAAAGGGCTCCAGCCTCTGACGGCAGAGGTGGCGCAGGACCCATCGGTGTTTGGCTCTGTTGTGCATGGGGTCGCTATGAGTTGGAACGGATTTGGCAGCACCTGACAACAGTGCAGGTATAAAACCTCCTGCAGAGATTTTGATTGACGTTAGATTAAATCTATCAATAACTTGGGAGAACTGGTTTCTTACCAGGCTGAGTCTTTCAATCTATGAACTCGGTACCTCTTTCCATTTATTTTGGTCTACTTGCATGAGACTGAGGTGAACTGGGATTTTCTTTGTCTGTTCTGTTGGGGGAGAGAGCAGGAGTGTCTTACAACAGCTGGTTTTCATTAGCACAAAAGTTTTCTTCAGCCACCAAGAGGGCATCTGACTTCCTACAAACCTGGCTTGCCTGGGTGACTGTGTGTGCACGGATTCCTAAGTGATTCTCTCTGGGTTGAGGTGGGTCTTTTGTGGCCACCAACTCAAGCCTATTCCCACCTGCTCTTTTGCAGAAAAGGGCTCTAGTTTTTGCCCTGGGCCCGGTGTGTATTCTCATCTGTGCTCCCCGACACCTGCTGCTGCTGGATTCTCCTGTGTTTATGCCCAGGCGGCTCCTACACAAGCACAGGTACCTCTGGAATACCGGCATCCGTTTCCAAGTTCTGCTGACAAGAGTGTCGGCGTTTTTGTCTGGGTTTCCTTTGTTGGGTGGGTGTGATGTGTCCAAGAAAAGACAGGGGAAATACTGAGTTCACAAAGCCACATTCACACCAGTTCCTGCCTTTTGGTGGAGGGGAGAAATGCCTGGGAGAGATGGAGCTCATTGGTAAATGCAGAAGGCATAGTCAAGACGTGAACGGGAGGGCGGACAAAAGAAACCAGGGTCTTCAAGAAGAATGTTCTGATCTGACCCCATTCTTCGTCACCCTAGTTCTAATGGGCGACAAACAGGCTGCCTCTCTGTAACTGTGTTGTGGCCTGAGATGAAGCACGGGCTACAAGCAGCCGCCAGAGGTAGAATCCCTCCCAGACTCCCCCATGGAGTTGCTCCAGGGACTGGAGGGAACAGGCAATGGCAACGCAGACGCAGCCATATTCAGCTCTAGGCACCAGCAGTATTAAGCAGCCAGAAATGCCCCCACACAAAACACTGATCAGATCAAACCAAACTCACTGCCCTCGAGTACATTCTGACTCAGTGACCCTTCAAGGACAGTGTAGAACTGCCCACGTGGTTTTCCAAGACTGTTAACTCTTTACGGGAAGAGAAAGCCTTATCTTTTTCCCATGGAGCGGCTGGTGATTTTGAACTGCTAACCTCATAGCTAGCAGCCCAATGTGTAACACAGGCCCCCAGGGCTCTTAAGACAATGACAGAATGGTCACTTAATTCCCTTCTTTAAGTCGGCTAGGATGAGATCCTGTGACTTATACACTTGCGATTTACATGGACTACATAGTGCCTCCTCTTTTCATAAACACATTTAATATGAAATGCTGAAATATACAAACAATATTCAACAGTTGGGTTTTGATGATCCAGATGGCAGTTCCCGATCCCAAACTACCTAGTAGCCATCCTTAATATATCAAAAAGATTCTGCTGCTTTGACTTTTCAGGAATCTGAACTCTGGATGCCCACGCCTCAGCCTCCTGGGCAGGTCATTGAACTAAGCACAGATTTTGTGGCTGGCAGAGATGGCCAAATCTCCAAGCTGCTGCAAGCAAGCGTTTTACTCACCTGATTGTGTATCCAGAGGGCAGGAGGGTGGTGCGTGTATTTCACTGCCAGTTCTAGGGTTCTCTCTTGTTCTAGCATCCTGGGACTGGAGCATATTGAGAACCCACCAACCACAGAGACGCCCGGGATAAAGAAATCAACCCTAAAAGGCAAGGCGAAGCAACGATTCTTGCTGAAACAATGTTTAAAATGGGCACCGAGAAATACAAAATTGACAAACTTTTAATTAGGCTGAATAAAGAAACAAAGGTGAAAGACTAAACTACTAAAGTCAGGAATGAAAGGGTGGACATCTCTACCAACTTTACCACCAAAAGATTTGAAGGGGATTCTACAACTGTATCAACTACAGTAGACAACTTAAGTAAAACAGAGTCATTCCTAGAAAAATATAAACTAAAAACAAATAGCATGTAAAAGGATTGAATTGGCAATTTTAAAACTTCCCATCTAGGAAAGTACAGGCCTACATGAGTTCACTGGAGGTTTCTACCAAACATTTCAGAAATTTACACAATGACATCACACACTCTTCCAAAACACGGAAGCAGAAGCACCACTCCCAACTCCTCCTGTGAGGCAGTGATCCTGACACCCCAACCAAAGACGCGGCAAGAAAAGAAAACTACCGGCCACCAGTTCTTTCTAATATAGACACACACATCTCAGGAACGCAAGGTTGGCTTCACATCTAACAATCAATCGATATCAATACCAGGTGAATCGGATGAAGACCACATGCTCCTCTCAATTAGTACAGAAAATGCATGGACAGAATTTGGCAGTAAGACACAGACACTTCCTGAATCTGACAAAAGCCATCTGAGAAACCCTCCCAGCTGACGTCAAACATAACCATAAAAGAGCAAGAGCTTTCCTCCAAGAATGCCTGCTTTTGCCACCTCTCTGTGACGACGCACTAGAGGCTCCAGCCAGCGCAATTAGGCAAAAAGAAATAAAAGGGACCCGTGCTGGAAAAGAAGTAAAGATTCAAAGTGACATAATCTTTGTCGTTGCTGTTAGGTGCTCTCTGGTGGGTTCCTCTGATTCTCACCAACCCTACGCACATCAGAAAGACACACCTGGCTGGTTCTTTAGCTCCTCACCATTATGATGCTTGAGCCCACGGTTGAAACCGCTGTGTCCACCCACCTCATTGAGGCGCTTCCTCTCTCGCGCTTTCTGTTTTACCAAGCATGATGTCCTTCTCCAGGGACTAGATCCTCCTGATAATTGGTCACTTCTAAGGAGCATTCTGGCTGTGCTTCTTCCAAGACAGATCTCTGTAAAGCTTTGCACATGTCATACAATACTTTGTCATGTTGAGCCGTCCCCTGAAATGTTCTGTTCGGCTTTTACTTCGTATCTTTGGGTCACTGTACCTTCACTACATTCAGAGCATGTTTCGGAGAGTCTTGCGACATCACTTTGGTCTGTTTTCCTTCTTGTCTTCTTCGTGATCTTTAATTCCTCAGGTCTGATGCCCTTGGTGTCATCCAGACTCATCTGGATTTTGGTCATTAGAGTTCAATGTGTCAGATCTATTCCTGAGATGGTTCTGGAGTCAAGTGGGACAGACTCCAGATCATATTTTGGCTCTTGTGGACTTGTTTTCATTTTCTTCCGCTGCAACTTGAACTACAGGTTTATATAAGCATTTGAATCAATTGAATGGTTCATATGAATCAATTGAACCATATAAGCATCAACTGGATATAAGCAATTAATGGTCTGCTCCACCGCCATATACGGTTCCACAATTGCTTTTTTTGTCTAATGATTTTGAGCTTCTCCACTGTCCTTCGGTCTTCCCTATTCATTGAAAAGCTCTCACATGCAAATGAGGAGACTGAAACTATCATGGTTTAGGCCAGGCTCACCTTAGTCTTCAGAGTAACATTTTTGTTTTTTAATGTTTTACCAGAGATCTTTTGCAGCAATGCAATATATGGCTTGATTTCCTAATTACTGCTTCCATGGGCCTTGACTGGGGATCCAAGCAAAATGAAGTCCTTGACTTTCCTGCCAATTATCATGTAGCTGCTTATTGGCACAAAAGCCAAAAAAACAACTTACTGCCATCAAGTCAATTCTGACTCATGGCGACCCTGTAAGACAGGGTAGAACTGCCCCTGTGAGTGTCCGAGGCTGTCACTCTTATGGGAATAGAGAGCTTTGTCTTTCTCCTGAAGAGCTAGCTGGGGGTTTGAATTACCTTGCTCTTAGAAGCCCAACATATAACCATGATGCCACCAGGGCTCTTTCTTATTGGAACAGTTGTAAATAATTTTATCTTCTTTATGCTAAAGTACAATTTATCTTAAAGGCTATAGCCTTTGATCTTCACCAGTAAGTAATTCAAATTCCCTTCGCTTTCAGAAAAAGCAAGGTGTGTCATCTGTATAGTATAGGCTGTAAATGAGTCTTTTCCAATCCTGATAGCATGTTCTTCATAAAGAACAGCTTCTCAGATTATCTGCACAGGGTACAACCCTGACAGACACCTTTTCTGATTTGAAGCCATTCAGCATCCCCTTGTTTTGTTTGAATGACTGCCCCTGGGTCTAGTTACAGGTTCCATGTGAGTACCATGAAATGTTCTGGAATCCTGTTCTTTGCAATGTTATACATGGTGTTAGCCTGGGTTGACTAGAGAAACAAATTCACTGACACTCATGTGTATAAGAGCTTTATATTAAAGAGAAATTGTATATTGAGAAAACATCCCAGCCCAATCCAGATCAAGTACCTAAGCCTGATGTTAGCCCATATGTCTGATACTAGTTCATAAATTCCTCTTTACACTCACGCAGCCATGCAATAATACCAAATGCAGGAAGATCACAGGCCAGTGGGTAGAAAGTCTTGTGGATCCAGTGGTGATAGAAGCATCTCTGTGCTGGTGTGGATCTCCACGTGGCTCTTCCAGTTCTAGGGCTCTGGCTCCATCAGCGTAGCTCCATGTGTCTTATCAAAAGGAATGTCTCGCAGGGAGACGAAGCAGAGATAGAGTGTGTCTGTCCTCCAGTGAGCTATTTATCTCCATTGTGCCTCCATATGAGGTCATTAACAGGCTAGACCCCATCCCTGCCTCAAGTTGACAGTAGATGATGTAACTGCCACACACACAGTTATAGTCCACAGAATCAAATGACTTGCATAGTCAATTAAATACAAGTAAGCATCTTACTGATATTCTCTGCTTTCAGCCAAGATTCATCTGATATCAGCAATGAGTTCCCTGGTGCCACATTTTCTTCTGGATCCAGTTTGGATTTCTAGCACTTCCGGATCTTACACAGTTGCAGCCATTTCGGAATTATCAGTAAAATTTTACTGGCATGAGATATTGATACTGCTCAGTAGTTTCTGTATCCTGTTGGATCATCTTTCTTCAGGATGGGCACAAATATGGATCCCAGCTGATTGACCAGATAAGCATGTCCCAAATTTCTTAGCACAGATGGCTTAATGCTTCTGTCAGTACAATTAGTTTTGCCTCCTTTGCTATCTCCTAAAATGGTTGGATATCAGCTAATTATTTTTGGTACAACGACACTGTATACTCCTTCCATATGTTGCTTTGTCATCCATCATTTAATACTTAGCTCATGGAATCCTTCAATACTGCACCTTAAGGTTTGATTGATATTTTTTCCATTTTCTCCAGGCCCTTTTATTTTTCTAACTCCGGGTTCTCTGCACAGTTTAATATACTCCTTTATCTTCTCGTGCCACGCTTGGAGATCTGTCCAGCTCCGGACGCAGTCATTTCTGCAACCACCTTCACGAGCGCGGTTCAGACTCTGTGACGTCCATTTTGGCCTGGCCTGTCTTCGTAATGACCTTCAGCATTTTCATGGGCGCTGGGCTTGATGCTAGTCCAGACCCATCAGTTTTCGATACGTCCAATCTATTTATGAGCGTCTCTAAATGCAGATGGGATATAAGAAAGGTGATAGTCTGGCTCTCCTGGACTTGTTTTAAATTTCTTCAGCTTCAATCTGAACTTGCAGATGAAAAAATGATGGTCTGTTCCAGCGCTGGCCAATGGCCTTGTTCCGATGATACTGAGCTTCTCTATTGTCTCCACACTGCAGTCTCTTTGGTCCCTGTGTATTCCACTGGGCAACGCCCATGTGTACAACCGTCACTTATGTTGTTGAAATAAAATCCCAATAAGCAGTTACGTCACTTTGCCAAATGCTCTCATGCCATCTCTGGTGGTGTTTCTATCTCTCAGGCATATTTTCCAAATAGCAATGTTTCTTTTCTCCCCCAACTGTTGCATTTCAAGCGCCAGTAGTTTAAATGCATCTTTTGAGTGCGTGTTTGATCAATATCAGACTGCAGAAATTGGTAAACATCTTCAATTTTCTCACACCTGGCACTAGTAGTCAGTGTATAAATTTGAATGATGGTCAAATTAACTGATTTTCCTTGTAGGCGTATGGATGTTATCACACACATTGTACTTCAAGATAGATTTTGAAATATTCTTTTTGACCATGAATGGAATGCCGTTCCTCTTCAATTTGTTTTTCCCAGCATAGTAAGCCAGATGATTGTCTGATTCAAAATGGCCAATACCAGTCTATTCTACTCACTAATGTGTAAGATATGTATCTTCAAGCATTCTATTTCATTTCTGACAGCTTCAAATTTTCCTACATTCATACTTCCTACATTCTACATTCCGATTATTAATGGAGGCTTACCGATAGGTCTTCTCATTTTGAGTCATGCCACATCAGCAAATGAAAGGCCCCAAAGCTTTCCTCCATCCCCGCCATCAAAGTCAGCTCTTCCCAGCTGTATTTTGAGTGCTTTCCAACCTCAGGGGCTCACTGCCATCTCAGCTAATGCTCCGCGGCTATTTATAAGGTTTCCACGTGAAGAAGCAGATTGTCAGGTGCTCCTTCCCTGTTAGTGTTAGCCTGGAAGCCCCACTGAAACCTGTCCACCACAGGTGATCCTGCTGTTACTTGAAATACTAGTGGCACAGCTGCCAGCCTCACAGCAACACGGAAGCCGCCCCGGTATGAGAAACTGACAGATGTGCGGTGGTTAAGTGTGAAGTTAAAAAGACAGCTGCGAAAGGGCATATATTGGATGATTCTATTTATATGAAATATCAAGAAG